GCGGTGTTAGGTCGTCGAGCGCATGGTACTAAAAATGGCTACTCGACGGCGCGAACACCGCTGAGCCTCCAGGCCGTTCAGGAGCTCCGGGCCGTTCGGTACTTTGTTCCCTGGAAGGCAATCGGTCATTTAAACATGTCTTTTAATAAATGTGTTTTTCGTGCGGCGTGCGGCGTTTTAACTGGGATCTGAGCGGTAATCTCACGAATGATGCGCTCAGACCCCAGCTATGCAAATAGACCGTATATTACCACAGTTATGCATTTTAATACGAATTGTAGGTTCACGGAGGGATAATCCATTTAACGGTATATTCCAGTGGGAGGATTCCTCTCGTGCAGCAGTGCCTGATGGGAGAAATAGCTTGTACAATAAGTCCCCCATGTAGTCCCCTCTGGGACTGCCCCTGGGAAGGGACTCAGGAAACCCCTTGCATGGGGACTTGTATAAATTGTGGAGCTGAAATAAAAGACCTCAGTTGACTCTCAGAACTGTGTTTCGTCCGGTTACTGGGAGATTTGGGATATTGCCTTGCTTTTTCCAGCGCTTGACTGTGGATTATTTCCTGAACCAGCGGAATTCGTGGATTTAATATTGGCGTTCCGCTACATACCCTGTTCCAAATTATTATGCAAATTCTATGTAAGTGTCACAAAGATTACATATTTTGTTTTTCAGTTTAACTCATGGATGGCATTGTGTCTCAGGGCTCTTTTGATCGCTGAAAATCTCGGACACCTGTGATAATTAGATTGCCAGCTGAGCCCAATTTAAAGAAAAACTACTAAAGGAGGGTGTTCCACATTATTAAGCAGAGCACCATTTTCATGCAATATGGGGAAGAAAAAGGATCTCTCTGCTGCCGAAAAGAGTGAGTTCAATGCCTTGGACAAGGTATGAAAACATTAGATATTTCACGAAAACTTAAGCGTAATCATCGCACTATTAAGAGATTTGTGGCTAATTCAGAGCACAGACAGGTTTGTGCAGATAAAGGCACATTGAGGTAGATTTCTGCCATATCCATGCATCGGATCAAGAGAGCAGCTGCTAAAATACCATTACATAGCAGCAAACAGATATTTGAAGCTGCTGGTGCCTCTGGAGTCCCACGGACAACAAGGACTCCTCCAGAGTCTTACAACTGTGAATAAACCTTCTATTACGCCACCACTAATCAATGCTCACAAGCAGAAATTGCTGCATTGGGCAGAAAAATACATGTAGACTAATTTTCAAAAAGTCCTGTTCACTGATGAGTGCCGGGCAACCCTGGATGGTCCAGATGGATGGAGTAGTGGATGGTTGGTGGACAGCCACCCTGTTCCAACAAGGCTGCGATATCAGCAAGGTGGTAGTGGAGTCATGTTATAGGCCGGAATCATGGGAAGAGAGCTGGTCGGCCCCTTTAGAGGTCCCAAAGGTGTAAAGATGACCTTTGCAAAGTATGTGGAGTTTCTGACTGACCACTTTCTTCCCAGGTACATTTGGAAGAACTATGCTTTCCGTAATAAAATCATCTTCATGCATGACAATGCACCATCTCATGCTGGAAAGAATACCTCTGCATCAATGGCTGCTATGGGGATAAAAGGAGAGAAAGTCATGGTGTGGCCTCCATCCTCCCCTGACCTCAATCCTATTGAGAACCTTTGGAGCATCCTCAAGCAAAAGATCTATGAGGGTGGGAGGCAGTTTACATCAAAACAGCAGCTCTGGGAAGCTATTCTGACATCTTGCAAACAAGTTCAAGCAGAAACTGTCCAAAAACTCACAAGTTCAATGGATGCAAGACTTGTGAAGCTGCTATTAAATAAGGGGTCCTATGTTAAAATGTAACGTGACCTGTTAAAATGTTTTAAAAAGTTAAAATGTTGTTATAAGTTGGAAAGTTGGATTGAAATAGCTTTTGATTTCAGTAAATATGCTGCAAACACAACAATTTTCAGTTCTTTACAACCTATAAAGTGTTTTGAAACTTACTGTGCATAATAATTCAAACAGTGCATTGTAAGTTTTTTATGTTTTAAAAAAATACTGTTATTGTGAAGAAATTCTTCTTTTATGTGCAATATTTCTTCCCTATTCATTGGGTAAATATAACTACTGAACAGAGACCACCCCCCTGGCTCGTTAAACTTCAAAGAATGCCTCAATTGAACCCTCTATCTGTACGGCCTTTTTTCTTTTTTCATGCGAACAAAGGCAGTGGGACTTGGTCGTCGTGTGTCTGGAACTAAAATCGGACACTTGACTTCCCGAACACCGGTCTCAACAAGCGAACGCTGGATCTTTATTTCACGAACAGCTAGAAGAGCGCTGTTCGGTACTTTTGAGCCACGGGAATCCATTCGTGGAATTATTCGGTTTTTGCCACTTAACTGAATAGACCGGCAAAACCACCCAAACTCTTGGAGCTATTTTGGGCAGCAACCTCGCGGTGAGCCGGTCACAAAAGACTTCCATACTTTTTGAGAACCCCTGAAACGATCTTGAATATGTTGGTCACCCAGATCGGGACTATCAGGGTACATATTGTTTGTGGGGATACCCCATGCCTAAAGGGGTGTTCTGAATATTGGGGAAAATTTAATTTTTTCTGCCTGGAGATAATCAAGTTATTACTTTATCAGACTTGATTATCTCCAGGACTAGGGGAGGGAATTGTATGTTTGTGCTGGGTGTGTTTTACGGTTTTACTGTAACGTATTGGTTGAACTGTGTCCCACCCTGTGGGATGTCCCCTTGCATTGGGACTTGCATAAAAGCCAGTGTATGGTCATTAAAAGCCAGTTCTGTTGTACCCATCTTCTTGACTTCGGCTGATGTTTGGGGATTCGTATGCTTTATTAAGGAAATCATCTTGTAAAGCTATTGTGTTCGTATGGATTTCATTATTTTCATCTACCGAACGGAGAGCTATAATCACTGATGCTTTGGCGGTTCGGGAGGAAGCTACCGAATGAGGATTGGATATACTAGGTTGTAGCAGAGATCCAATATTCCACAGATTATCTCCGCTTAAGATCCCAGTGAGGCTCAGGAACAAGTAATTATAAATCCACAAAGCAAGGTTTCCAGCAGGTAAAATAATCCAACAGTGTCCCAACAGCAATCCCAATAACTGGACGACACACAGCATCAGGAGCAGAACTGAAAACCTTTATTTCACAGTGGCCTTATAAAGCATACTCCCATGCAAGGGAGGGATTTTCATTAATTACTACAGTACCCAATCCGGCAATAGTAACCTCCCACACATCTCCTCCCCTCAGCCTGACTCATAATTCCCTTATACTGTACGCAAATTCCCCCAGTTTCTGGATGTACCCCTAAACCTAGGGGTACCCCTTTAAATGGCACATCCCCTGGTAGCCCTGATCTGGGTGAGCAACATATCCAAAAATCACCCAGATCGGACCAGGGGTTCGGGAAATTTATGGAAGTACTAAAAAGACCGACCGTGCTGGAGAGAACAGCCGAATTGGGTTCCATGCGATGGGGCCCTGCGGTCGGTCCCAGCATAAGGGAATAAATTACACGAAAGGCTAAGGCTACAGATATCAGGTAGGGTTCACATGAATCCCCTCGTTCGGTTGTTTCTGTCTACCGAACGAGGGGCCGTTCGGTAGTTTGGAAACGAACGGACCGGGCTTGTGGAGGTCTTAGCGGTGTTCGCCTAGTCGAGTGTCCGATTTGGGTTCCAGACACTCGACGGCAAAACACCGCTGTTCGGGAGTTTTAAAATAGCCGCCACCCCGTGTTCATTTCCTGAATGGCGGCCACCCCGAGCACAAAGGACCTACTGCATAGCTTGTTAATTACCCGTTCGCAACATTGTTGCAACGGGTAATTGAAGGCACACTTCACACAGGGGAGGTCTGATTGTTCGGTAGTTTCATTCCCTTAGTTTATTCGAATGATTCTACCAAACAATCAGACGAATACACTTTATTTAAACACATAAAAAAACAGCATGCTGCCGCCTCGCGTGGTCAACTTTCAACGTTAAACTTGAAACATAATATAAACATTTGTTTGAGCGCATGTGCCCATACACCGTAAGTTTCCTTTACCTGGCCGCCCCTGGTGCGCAGCCGCCAGACCCCATACGCGGTCCTCCCGCTTGCAAACAACCCGGTCAGCGGTAGGGGGCCTCCAAGGTTCCCGGGGTGGAGCGGGTGCGCAGCCATTCCCTTTCCCCCCCTGCCACCCCTCATAACCCCGCTGCTCGGGGCCTCTGAGTAGCAGTGGAGATGTGTGCTACACCCGTAAACGGGGTGTGGGTTCTAGGGGACCCTAGGGCCTAACGTGGTATAACTTCACCATTGTCGGCCATTCTGGTTTGCTTAGTTTGTGCCTCTAAAGCGGCCCCCGAGTGTCCTCAGTGTGATTCCCAACATCAGAATGCTCTTCTGTGAAGCTCCCCCTGAGCTTCGACTGTCCCTTGCCGGGCCCCCCGCTGTACTGCTTCCCAATGCTTACGTCCCTCGGGCCTCTGGGTTAAATGTGAACTTGAGCTGTGTGCTAGCTTTTTTTGGCTCCTTGGAAATTACTAATATTCCCCTTGATTGTTCCGGGCCCGCATGGCCTGCAGTACACCGTACTGTTGGGTGTATAGCCTTTTTGTCATGGCCTTGACCTGCATCCCCGGCATGTCTCCACCGCCCCCAGTGGCGACCCATCCACCCAAACTTTGCTGTGCCCCGGTTGACATTAGTGATGGGGAGGGGGGATAGTCAGTGTTCCTACGCCATGTAGGCATTACTCCAGTGTAGGCCCATTCCCTTCCCAAGTGGGGGCCCCTTGGGGTGTAATTGTGGGCATCTGGTGTGGGGCAGATGCGCAGTACATACCATCGTGGACCTTCCGTGTCCTTGGGAGGCTATGAGGCCATCTTGATGGGGGGGGGGGCGCTTGCCGTTAACCCCACATCGGCAGTCGTAGGGGTCCAGGGTCCTGGGCCCAGCAGCCAGGGGTCATGTGTACTGGGCTTCTACTTATTCTTCAGGGTCATCTTGTCCGCCCCGGCGTTGGCGCGGCCCTGATGTGTCATCGGAGAGATTTTCAGCGGGGACGGTGGGGCTGTAAGGCCGGGTTGGTAGGCAGTCCAGGATCCAATTTGGGATAGGTATGGTCGGGAGGCCCACAGCCTGCAGGAAGCAGGGGATGTCGTTAGGCCATCTCAGCACATGCCATTGGTTGTCCACCTTGGCCTGCAGACTAAACGGGAATCCCCACCTGTACGGTATCCGTTTCTCTTGCATGAGGCTTGTGAGTGGTTTCAGGGCTCTCCGGGCATCGAGGGTAAGCGTTGATAAGTCTTGGTATAAGGATATTTGGGAATCTTCGTATCTCATGGTGCTTTGCGTTCTGGCCGCCCTCATAATGGCGTCCTTGAGCTGAAACGACTGCAGGCATCATATTAGATCTCTGGGTAGGCCATCCCTCCGTGGGGCTCTGAGCGCTCTATGTGCTCTCTCCAGACCAAAATCCATCGGTGCTTCTTCTCCCAGTATATGGGTGAACAGACCTGTTAGGAGCTCCCTGGGTGACTCCCCTTCAGACTCTGGCATGCCCCTTACGCGGATGTTATTGCGGTGGCCTCAAGGAGTATGTTGCCCTGCCTTGAGGCTGCCAGGTCCGCTGCCCGCATGTGGTGAGTAGTTTGCAGGCGGTGTTCCTACAGGTCGTCGACCCTTTGTTCCAATACCGCAAGGTCTCTCCGTACCACAGTAATCTCTTCGTGGATAACGGATCTGAGCTCGGCAATTAATTCTGTCTTGTCACCTCGGGTAAGCATATTTGCGGAGATCGCTGCGAGGTCCGCAGACATTTTTGTGAGTGCTTCCCCTCGTGGAGCCGTTCCGGGTGTTCGATCCCGGGGGCGAGGGCGCCATCTTGCCTTGGTTTCGCGCTCCCCCTAGGGTGTACGGGATGGACAGGAAGTCATCCATTGGTCCCGGTATTTGGCTCGCGGGTGTATGTGGCGGTCTGGGGGTAGCCCCTCATTTTGATTTCCCCATGAAATCGGTGGTATTAGCTGCGTGTATAGGGCTTTGGCTGGTTGGGGCCTAGAAGCTCCTGTCGTCTGCGTCCTACTCCATTAGCAGCCAAGCCACGCCCCTACAAATATTTTTAACTACATAATGGGATCAGGAAGATATGCTGGGGAGTTACTGAGAGCGAATAAAGTCCCTATACCAAAAGTGGACCAAAACCCTGAACTGATCAGCAATTATAGACCTATTTCGCTGATTAACACTGATATCAAAATACTATCCTCTATTCTTGCTGTAAGGTTAAAGATAGTTATACCACAACTAATTAATAACGACCAAGTAGGATTTCTACCAAGGAGGTCCCCAATTAATAACATAAGGAAAATAATAAACATACTAGAAGAAACAAATACAACTGGAACCCCACTCTTGCTTTTATCAATAGACACACAAAAAAAAGGGTTTGATAGGGTGGGACGGGGTTTCATGCATCTAACCTTAAACAAATTCGGCATTAATGGTCCAATACTACAGGCTATATTCGCTCTCTACAACTCTCCATCAGCCAAAGTCATAGGGTCAAGATTTCTGTTACAATACTTTAATATTAAAAATGGAACAAGACGAGTGTGTCCTCTTTCCCCTTTACAATATATAATGGTACTAGAACCTCTAGCGATTTTAATAAGACAAAATCAGAAAGTCAGAGGCTTTTAGGATCAGGTAGGACAAGTGAAACTGAATATCTATGCAGACGATATTTTATTGACAATAGAAGAACCAGAAACATCGGTCCCAGAATTACTTAAACAGATAGATAAATACTCTAAGTTTCAGGATATAAGATTAATTTAGACAAATCACTTTTTATAGCTAAAAATATGGACAAAACATCTACAGATTTTCTTGTAAAAAATATTGGGCTCCTGAAAAAAAAAGACAGGCTGAAATATTTGGGTATAACTATAACGTTGAATTTAAAAGATCTAATAGAATGATTTGAATGGTGCCACACTTGGCCTTATATGACAATCCCCTTGCAAGGGGTATGCCCACATAGAACTGATGGCAGACTGATTTACAAAGTCACAGACTAATAACAATAAGGTTACAAGGCACGACACTTCCACACACAGCATACAATTCCTCCCCTCTGCCTGGGAGATAATGGAGTCAGATACTGTATTAACTCAAATATCCCCTGATAGCCCTGATCTGGGTGACCAACATGTCCAAAAATAACCCAGATCAGTTCAGGGGTTCAGGAATTCTATGGAAGTCATTGATTTGACCAGCCGCAGGCATGGTCCCATGCCCAAAACAGTTCCAGAGAATCGGGGCTTGCGGTCGGTCTAGTTCGGTAGTTTGAAAACGAACAAACTACCGAACAGAGTCAATAGTCTTACCCTGGAGCTTGTTCCCTTCATCCAGATGAATGATCCCACCGAACAGTGACCTTCTAACTTGTATAGAACCGAACGCAGGCGATGATGGAAGTCCAGCGGTGTTTGGTAATATCTGTGTCCGATTTTAGTTCCACGAGATTCATGCCCAAACACCGATGCCTGCGTTCATGCGAACAAGATGGCTGCCACCTCAAGGATGTCCATGGGAATTGCAGCCACCCTGACTAACAATTAGAACACTGCGGTGAGAAACATTCCAAGTTGTTAATAGGTGTTAACAAGCTCCAGGGTGGTCTCTGGTTAGTGCGGTTGTTCGGTAATTCGAACTACCGCTTCGGGAGTTTGAAATGTAGCCATACATAGTAAAATATAGGTACAAACAGTATCTTTAACCAAAGTCTTTTACAGTGGCCATAATCTCAGGGCAGGAGGCTGGCAAACAGGCTCCTCCAAAAGCTAGTGGTGAGGTTACTTTGCCACACTATCTATCTATCTATTACTCTCACTAACACTCACTCTCTCACACACAATCAATATCTCATTCACTCACTCACCCACACTTACTCTCTCGCTTATTCTCTAACCTACACTCACACTAACTCTCTCGCTCTCACCCTTACAAAATACGTTTACTTACGGTTTGGATCCTCCTGTTTGGTCTCCGGTGCTGTGTGCAGGAGATGTTATCTCCCACACTGTCGGCTCTGATTGTGCTGAATGCACATTAGGCATTCATGAACTCAGAAGTCCCTCTGGTGGCAGTCTGAGTGACTGCAACTAGAGGTGTTCCTAGCTTCCAATGTAAACACTGTATTTTCTCAGAAAATAGAGTTTACATGAGAAAGGCTGCAGGGCGGTATAGTTCTCACCTGAACAACCTCATTAAGCCGAAGTTGTTCAGGTGACTATAGTGCCCCTTTAACCCCTTAAGGACACATGACATGTCATGATTTCCTTTTATTCCAGAAGTTTGGTCCTTAAGGGGTTAAACATTACTTTCCAAGTCAGCAAAAATACTTGGATTTTTGCAATCTGCTTGGTAGTGAAGGAATTAGATTTACCATAATTCAATGTTTAGTAAATAGACAAGTCATAATAGGAGGAAATTGTTATCATTTATTTTCTTCCCCTTTCATTTTGTTAATATTTACACAGAGGTATTTATTTGGTCTAATAAATAATCTTACTTTCGTCTCATTAAGAAAAGTCCTTTAATTTATTTTCTTATCTGAATATCCAGGAGCTTTCATGATACACACATATACAGGTACACATACTAAGACGGTACTGTGGCAAACCTAGCCACTTGGGACTGCCTAAGATAGAATGGTTGTGCCTATTTTCTGTTGTGTACTGCGCGCCGGTATAGTGTGGCGTCTCCGGCTATGTTTAATTTATGCTGTACTGTGTATGTCTGTTCGAATCCTCCCCATTCGTTAGCATTGCTATTAAAACTGACTAAGTTGTATATTTTGAAGTAGAAAGGTAACGGTTTATGTCCTCGTAGTTTTCATTACTGTATGTTACAGCAGGGGCTGTTGGGAGGAGGACCTGGAAACGGTAGTCTCCCTCCAGTCCCCTCAACCAAAACCCCTGCTGCCCATCTTTGGAAACCCCTGTTGAGTGACCTGCTTTAAATATCAGTTATTTTGAATAAAGTGACAGTTGAGTGACCTGCTTTAAATATCAGTCTTTTTGAATAAAGTGGCAGTTGACTCTCAGACTGTGTTTCGTCTGGTTCTTGGGAGGATTTGGGAATATTGCCTGCTTCCAGCTTTGTACTTGGTTATTGCATTCTACCAGCAGAGATCCTGGGATTATAAAATTGCAGCTCCGCAACAATTGGTGGCAAGCGGCGGGATCCAACCGTACAGCAGGAAAAACGCTGTTTATACAATTGGAATTGACATACTGGAAAGCAGAAGGCAATTGATACAGATGCAGAAGTGAATGGGGATGGACTACACCATATTGAAACGGCAAACGTTAAAGGAGCTGTTGGAAGCCAGGGGTAAGATAGCCAGCAATAAGCCTAAAGCAAGACTTATTGCCGAGCTAATGGAAGGAGACCGAGCTCGTAGTGCTACACCCCCAGCAAACATGGAGGAGACCCCATTTGAACGAGAAATGAGGACAAGATTGGCATTTTGGCCCGCTCCAGTATCTCCAGAAATTATGACCATAATTTTGGCGGATGCACAGGAGTACGTGATGGCGCAAAGGAATCAAGCCTTCTCACCTCAAGCAGAAACCGCTGCTGTTTCAACTGTGGGCCAGGGAAGGCCAAAAATACCACATCATGCATTTAAAACTTTTTGCGAGGATAAAGACGAAATAGATGGATTCTTGCAAGATTTTGAAAGATTGTGTGACTTGCATGATGTAGAGCAAGCTATGTGGGTACCTTTGTTGGCAGGCAAACTGTCTGGGCGTGCAGCAGACGCCTACCGGGCTGTACCCAGAGAGGACAGCAAGAATTATGACAAGGTAAAGCAGGCGCTATTAGAAAGGTATGCCATTACCCCAGAGGCATACCGGCGCAAGTTCCGAGAATTGAAAAAAGGGGACAAAGACTCACATGCGGAGTGGGCACACAAGCTTGACCAAGCCTCACAAGGCTGGATACAAGCCAGCAGAGCTACCACCATGGAAGAGTTACGCCAGATGTTGCTACTGGAGCAGTTTTGTAATGGCCTGGCACCAGAGGCTCAAGAATGGGTGAATGACCGAAATCCTCACACCCTAACCGAAGCGGCACGATTGGCCGACCAACATTATGATGCTAGGAGGCATCATAAAAATAATAACCGAGGGTATGCAAAACCCAACCCGCAACCGTTTCCAGTTATTGCTCCTGCCCCAGCGACAGCACCATCCAGACCAGCACTTGTGGGACAACCTCCCCACTCCCGTTATAATGGCAGGTCCAACATCCAGTGCCATGCCTGTAAGCAATGGGGGCACATGGCCCGGGAGTGC